GTCGAAAAAAATATTTTTAAAAAATCCACGCCTATAGCTAAAGTCGAAAAAAATATTTTTAAAAAATCCACGCCCATAGCTAAAGTCGAAAAAAATATTTTTAAAAATCCACGCCTATAGCTAAACTCGAAAAAAATATTTTTAAAAATCCACCCCTATAGCTAAACTCGAAAAAAATATTTTTAAAAATCCACGCCTATAGCTAAAGTCGAAAAAAATATTTTTAAAAAATCCACGCCTATAGCTAAAGTCGAAAAAAATATTTTTAAAAATCCACGCCTATAGCTAAACTCGAAAAAAATATTTTTAAAAATCCACGCCTATAGCTAAACTCGAAAAAAATATTTTTAAAAATCCACGCCTATAGCTAAACTCAAAAAAAAATATTTTTAAAAAATCCACGCCTATAGCTAAACTCAAAAAAAATATTTTTAAAAAATCCACGCCTATAGCTAAACTTGAAAAAAATATTTTTAAAAAATCCACGGCCATAGCTAAACTCGAAAAAAATATTTTTAAAAATCCACGCCTACAGCTAAAATCGAAAAAAAAAATTTTTTAAAATCCTAGCTATAGGCGTGGATAATTCAGGTGAAAAATGTCGCTAAAATCAACAAAATACCGAATATCGGGAGGTACGATTATATGGTGGCTATACGAAGATGTGGACCTGCATGCGCAATTTTTTGTCATAGACTGTAGTATCCATTACGAATCTCAAATACCAAATTTCAAACAATTCCGGTACATGATGTCGCTAAAATCATCAAAATATCGAATATCAGGAGGTACAGTTATATGGGGGCTATACGAAGGCTTGGACCTGCACGGACAATTTTCTGTCATAGGCTGTAGTATCCATTACGAAGTTTAACTAACAAATTTGAAACAATTCCGATGAATAATGTCGCTTAAATTCCCAAAATACCGAATATGGGGAGGTACCGTTATATGAGGGCTATGCGAAGATGTGGACTTGCAAAAACTATTTTCTGTCATAGGCTATAGCATCCATTACGAACTTCAAATACCAAATTTGAAACAATTCCGGTGAATAATGTCGCTAAAATCATCAAAACACCGAATATTGGGAGGTTCCGTTATATGGGGGCTATACGAAGATGTGGACCTGCATGCGCAATTTTCTGTCGTAGACTGTAGTATCCATTACGAAGTTTAACTAACAAATTTGAAGCAATTCCGGTGAATAATGTCGCTTAAAGTCCCAAAATACGGAATATCGGGAGGTACCTTTATATGGTGGCTATACGAAGACGTGGACTTCCACAAACAATTTTCCGTCATAGGCTGTAGTATTCAATACGAACTTCAAATACGAAATTTGAAACAATTCCCGTGAATAATGTCGCTAAAATCATCAAAATATTGAATATCAGGAGGTACAGTTATATGGGAGCTATACGAAGACCTGGGCCAGCATAGATAATTTTCTGCCATAAGCTGGAGTATCCATTTCGAACTTCAAATATGACATTTGAAACAATTCTGGTGAATAATGTCGCTAAAATCACCAAAATACCGAATATCGGGAGGTACCGTTACATGGGGGCTATATGAAGACATGGACCTGCACAGATCTTTTTTTTTTTCAAATAATAATTGCTCATCACGATTACTTTATTAATAAAAAATAAAAAAAACGCAGCCCTTTTATTGACAGTTATTCCAAAAAGGCCACTGCAAGTTCTTGTAATGGCATTTACAGCTGTCTGTCGGCCAGGCTGTCCCGCCTGCCTGCCTGCCTACTTTTTCAATGAACCGTGAGTAATAAATGTGAGTTTTTTTCTTATTGGAATTATCTTCGGGGAACCAAATTTAAATGTCAGTCATGCCTACAAAAGTAAAACACAACAAAAACAACAAAATCTCCACACACATGCAACCAAAGTTTAGAATTTCGAATCGGGTTAAAGTTATAAATCTTCAATACAAAAAAAAAAAAAAAAAAAAACAGTAACACGTTGGGCATGCGCAGCACACAATTGCTCGATTTTGTTTTTTTTTTTAATTTCAGGGGGATCTTAAGTGTGCCTCATAGAACGCTGCTTGGCTGGCTGGCTGGTCGTCTGTCTGGATGTGTGCGTGTATCTCCACAGTTCATTAAATGATGGAGTGGGTGAGAGAGGAGCAACAATTCAAAGCCACAATCATTATTTTAATTCTAAATTTTGGCTGGAGATCGAGTATTGAACAGTGGCTAGGAAACATGGGAGCATTTCTTAATTTAATGGCTCAAAAATAAATCGAAAGGTAAGTTTTATTAAGGAATTAGGAAGAAGACCTCACAGTAAGTGTTAATTATAAAAATCCACAATCTTGGGTCTGAAGCTAAAGGTGGGAATATATAAAATGCTTATTTGGCTGGCCTATGTCATCGGCTGGCTGGGAACAAAGGAATTTTAGGTTGACTTAGTTCGATTTTGGCCCTAGGCTCCTTTGTTCATTTCCCAAGACTTAAGCCAGCTAAATAAGCGCTTTATGTATTCCCACCTTAAGTATCTGGATGAAACGAAAATATGGTGTCTTAAATAAATCCGGAAGAAAAATTCACATTTAAAGAGAGTACTTAAAAGGCTTTTATGATTGGCTGAAGCACAAAGAAAGGTTGACTTAGATCGACTTTGGCCCTTTATTTATATCTGTTTGCTCTATGAACAAGTTTTTTTATACCCTCCACCGTAGTATGGAGGGTATATAAAATTTATATTTAAGGCCCCACAAAGTATATATATATTCTTGATCAGCATAAAATTCTATGTCGATTTAGCGATGTCCGTCTGTCTGTCTGTTCGTCCATCTGGCCGTCTGTGGAAATCACTCTAGTTTCCGAACGAAATGAAGTAGGTTGACAAAATTTTACTCAAATGTATTTTATGTCTGCAGGACTTTTGGTATTGAAAATGGACCATGTAGGTCCACGTTTTGGTATAGCCCTCATATAACGGTACCTCCCGAAATTCGGTATTTTAATGATTTTAGCGACATTTTTCACCGGAATTGTTTAAAATTTGGTATTTGAAGTTCGTACTAGATATTACATCACAAGACAAATAATGGGCCATGGAGGTCCACGTCTTCGTATAGCACCCATATAACGGTACCTCCCGATATTCGGTATTTTTATGATTTTAGAGAATTTATTCACCGGAATTGTTTCAAATTTGGTATTTGAAATGCGTAATGGATACTACAGCCTATGACAAGAAATTGTCTGTGCAGGTTCACGTCTTCGTATAGCCCCTAAATAACGGTACCTCCCGATATTCTGCATTTCGATGATTTTTGCGACATTTTTTTGGCATTTAAAGTTCGTAACAGATACTACATCCTAAGACAGAAAATGAGCCATCTAGGTCCACGTCTTCGTATAGCCCCCATATGACGGTACCTCCCGATAGTCGGTATTTTAATGATTTTAGCGACATTTTTCACCGGAATTGTTTTAAATTTGGTATTTGAAATTCGTAATAGGTACTACAGCCTATGACAGAAAATTGTCTGTGCAGGTCCAGGTCTTCGCATAGCCCCCATATAACGGTACCTCCTTATATTCGGCATTTTGATGATTTCAGCGACATTTTTAGCCGGAATTATTTCAAATTTTGTCTTTGAAGTTCGTAATGTATACTACAGTCTATGACAGGAGTCTGTGAAGGTCCACGTCATCGTATAGCCCCCATATAATGGTACCTCCCGATATTCGGTATTTTTATGATTTTAGCGAATTTATACACCGGAATTTTTTCAAATTTGGTATTTGAAATGCGTAATGAATACTACAGCCTATGACAGAAAATTATCTGTGCAGGTCCACGTCTTCGTATATACAGCTTTTTTACTTGTTTTTACTTACGCTAGTCAAAAAAGCCTTTTATGTACTCTTGAGGTGCTGACACACCGCTTGGGTTAATAAAAATATTCTGATATATGTAATTTGTAGAGAACCGGACTCTTATTTCGGATTTTATAATCGTTTGGTTATTACTGGCGGAGGTACCAGAAGAAATAGTCCGATCTGTACCATATTTGCAAGAGATCTTGTGTTGATGGAAGTATTGAGATGTACCAAGTCTGAATGGAATCGGATGTTAATTTCGTGTTTTGTGAGCTTCACGAATATTCAAAATTTTGACCATTTATGGGGAGGTAACAGAAGGTATGAATCGATATATCCCACCCATATTTGAAAAATAAATACAAATGTAATTTCTTAGATTTAAAAAAAAAATTTTTGGTAATTTTTCTTTATATTTTTCCACTATTTTTTAGTTATTTTATTTTTCAAATTTTTTTAAAAAAACCCCTCTTGCAATTTTTTCGATTTAAAAAATGTATTTTTTTAAATTTTCGGTAATTTTTCTTTCCAAGTCCATAGATTCTTAAAAAAATGTAAAAAATTGCGGGGCTTTAAAATTCCGCCTTATTGTTATTCTTGATAAGGCCCCCCTCCTATCCCCACCAACCAAAAAACGGGGGGATGAATGCAGAGCAAGGAATGAAAACAATACAGGCTTGTTAAAATACCAGACAAAATTGAAGATACCACAAAAAAAATAAATAAAATAAAGCCAACAGAATTTTAACCAGTTTTGTTTTTTTTCGTATTGTTGTTTTTGTTTTTTTCTTTTGCTTCTTTGAGCCATGCACAACAATAACAAGCTATTCCCATACCATTCATTGTTTCGGTGTGGAATCATTGTACCCGTTGACTTGTTGTATCTGTAAGATTTATAACTTCGTTCGCCTCCTGGTTTAGGTTAAGATACTTGTTTCTGAAAGAAAAGAAAAAAAAAACAATTGATTCAATAGAGAGAGAGAGAGAGAATATAGACTTGGCCATCTCAGAGAGCCAGCCAAGTGGGAGATCAAGCCATATTTGTGTTTTGTTTGTTTCTTTGGCTGTGCTGCAAAGCATATGTTCGAACATGTTGCAAGGTTTGATGGTGATCAATTGTTGTGGACTCCCCAATGGTTGGAATTGGAATTGTGAGTTGGTTGTGGGTTTTGCTTTGTGGACTGGTTGTTGTGTTTTGCCGGACTCAAAACGGGTATTGGCCACAATTTTGGGTTCAGCTCAGTTACTTTGAACGTTTTAAGATGAAAAGGTGCAAATTCTCTCGTATGCGGAGTTTTATATGCCGTCGCATTTTTTTTTTGTAAATGATTTACAAGACGCGAGTTTGAATTTCAATAAAGTGTTCTGTGTTTTGTCTTTTTTTTTGTTCGCCTCCTTCATCTTAAGAAAGTAACAAGTCAGTGGAAATAAAAAAGAAGAAGAAAAAAATAAAAAAATAGTAAAAGAAAAGTAAAAAAGCCAGTAAAAAGATAGAATCACACAAAAGCAATACCACAAAGAAAGAAGCAAGAAAAAAATTGGTAATAATATAGGTATGGCAAGAGGAATGAAGAATGAAGTTAACAAGAAGAAAACTCAGTTAATGAGAATAAATCTGAGGCAAGAGTGTGTGTAGTGGTGTTCTGGAATTGGATTGGAGTAAAGAAACTCCTTCTCTGCAACTGGGGGGAAATAACAACAGAAATAGAGAAAAGAAAATACAAAAAAAAAAAAAAATCTAAAACAAAAAAAAAAAGAACAAAAAAAAATGTAATTAAAAAAGTGTAGCAAAAAAATAAAACAAGAAAATATCACAGTTTAAATTATTAAAAAAAAAAATAAAATAAAATAAAAAATACAAAATTAAAATAACTGAAAAAAATCAAAAAACAAAATAAGAAAATATTACAGTTTAAATTATTTCAAAAAAAAAAAAAAAAAAAAAAATAAAAAAAACGAAATTAAAATAACTGAAAAAATTACAAGTTGATAAAATGAAAACTGAAATTAAAACAGTGTAACAAAAGATTAAAATATTAAAAAAATTAAAATTAAAATTATTTATAAAATAATTTAAAAAAAAATAAAATAACTAAAAATGGTAAAAAAATAAAGAAAAAATTGAAAAGACATTTTTTTAAATCATAAATTCACATTTGGATTTTGAAAAATAAAATAACTAAAAAATAGTAGAAAAAAATATAGAAAAATTACCAAAAATTCAAAATAATTTTTTGTTTAATCTAAAAAAAATGTAAAAATATTTTTTTACATCGAAAAAATTAAAAGTGGGTTTTCTTCAAAATTTTGAAAAATAGAATAACTAAAAAATTATGGAAAAAATAAAGAAAAATTATCAAAAATTTCAAAAATATTATTTTTAAAAGTCGAAAAAATTACAAGTGGGTTTTTTCAAAATTTTGAAAAAAATTACAAAAAATTTGAAACATTTATTTTTTTAAATTGAAAAAATTACGTGTGGATTAATTTTTCATAATTTTGAAACAACAGAAAAATTAACAAAAATTTGAAAAATAATTTTTTAAATCGAAACATTACAAGTGGATTTTTTTTCAAAATTTTGAAAAATAAAATAAAAAAAAATAGTGGATAAAAATAAACAAAAAAAAAAATTTCAAAAATAAATTTTTTAAATCTAAAAAATTACATGTGGATTTATTTTTCAACATTTTGAAACAAAGAAAAAAATAAATAAAGAAAAAATACCAAAAAATTTAAATATACATTTTTTAATCGAAACATTACAAGTGGTTTTTTTTTTCAAAATTTTGAAAGATAAAATGACTAAAAAATAGTGGAAAAATAAAGAAAAATTACCAAAAATTTCAAAAATAATTTTTTTTAAATCTAAAAAATTACATTTGGATTTATTTTACAAAGTTCACAAACAAAAAAAGAAAAAAAAATTGAAAAATATTGTTTTTAAATCGAAAAATTACAAGTGTTTTTTTAATTTTAAATTGAAATAACTTTGCAACCTGGATAATTTTCTGGACATATTCAAACTAAAAATCAGGATGCAAACAACTTCCATTAACCCACATGGTGGCTTGAATTGAAAAGGAGGTGCCATATAGGGTTATAATTTTAGGAAAAATCTAAATTATCTCTAAATTTTCTAAAACATATTCCAAAACCATTTATGAAAATTTTCTGGGAAATCGGAATTAAAACAAGTTTAAAAGCAGTAAGTTTGGCCGAGCCGAACTTTGAATACCCTCCACCATTTGGAAATTTTCAGAAAATAAAATCATTAAAATTTTGATGGAAAAAATCGGCCCTGAATTAAAAAACGGGTGGCAATATTTTATGTGCCGATAGTTCGGAAACCAGAGGGGTTAGAGGGACAAATTTTTGTGTCACAAGCCCTTCGATACTAAGCACTATTTTTTTATGAAAATTCACCCTCCACTCTTTATAATATGTGACTGTGATGCAACAAAATTTTCACTCCAAAATAATTGTGGAAATAGTTCATTCCCAAAAATTAATAAATTATAAACCAAAATTAATATAGGTATTCAGTTGGTATATATTATAGCTACAGATTTCTTTTGTTTGGTGACTTATACTGGAATTTGATGTAGAATATTTCTTCCCTTAACATCCTCCGCCTAAGATGAAATTTTGGTGGAAAAAATCGGCCCTGAATTAAAAAGGTACCAAAACGAATGGCAATATTTCACATGCCGATAGCTTGGTAACCAGAGGGGTAAAAGGGATGAATTTTTGCTTCACAAGTCCTTCGATACTAAGGACTTTTTTTTTATGAAAATTGACCCTCCGCTCTGTATACTATCTGGGTTATTGACACTCCAAAGAAAAAAATCTATAAATATTTTATTCCAAAAAACATAAAAAATATACCCAATTTAATATGGGGTTTCTCTTAGTATATATATCTTTTGGTTGGTGACCTATAGTAAAATTTGATGACGAATATTTCTTTCATTGATACCATCTGCCTAAAGTGAAATGCTGGTGGTAAAATTTGGCCTTCATTCAAAGAAGTAGAAAAACGGTAGGTTATAATTCACATGACGATAGTTCGGTAATCAGAGGGGCTAGAGGGGTGATTTTTGGCAATGAGAGTCCCCTAGAACCAAGGAATATTCCTTCTAAAAATAAGCATTCCACGAGTTTTAATATCAAAGTTATGAAGCAATAGACCTCAGCGCTCCATTCAAAATTAGAGAAGTTTGCTTTTAGTTTATTTTTAGATTTTTATTTATTTTTTTTTTTTAATTACTTGTCAGAATTTAAAAAAAAAAAAAAACATAATGGGTTAATGGAAACTTAAACTTGTAGTGAAATTTGATGACGAATATTTTTTCCATTGATACCACCTGCCTAAAGTGAAGTTTTGATGGTGAAAAGCGGCTCTTATTCAATGAGGTAGTAAAACGGATGGTTATAATTCACATGTCAATAGCTCGCCACCCAGAGGGGTTAGAGAGGTGATTTTTGACAATAGGAGTCCTATGGCACCAAGGAATATTCCCTCCAAAAATAGGTACTTCACGTGTCCTAATATCAGAGTTAGGAAGCAAAAGCCCTCAATGCTCCGTTCAAAATTAGAGAAGTTTGCTTTTTGTTTATTTTTAAAGTTTTATTTTTTTAAATTACTTGACAGAATTTAAAAAAAAAAAAAACATAATGGGTTAATGGAAACTTAAACTTGTAGTGAAATTTGATGACGAATATTTTTTCCATTGATGCCATCTGCCTAAAGTGAAGTCTTGGTGGTAAAATTTGGCCCTAATTAAAAGTAGTAGTAAAACGGGTGGTTTTAATCCAAATGTCGATAGTTCGGCAACCAGAGGGGCTAGAGGGGTGATTTTTGGCAATAAGAGTCCTATGGCATCAAGGAATATTTCTTTCAAAAATAAGCATTCCGCGACTTTTAATATCAGAGTTAGGAACCAAAAGCCTTCAATGCTCCATTCAAAGTTAAAGAAGTTTGCTTTTTGTTTATTTTTCAATTTTTATTTTTTTAAGTTTTATTTTTTTTAATTTTTATTTTTTTTAATTTCTATTTTTTTTTTAATTTACTCTCAAGTTATAATGGGTTACTGGAAATTGTTTGCATTGCTTCATTTCATAAAAATATTTTTTTTTAATACAAATTATTTTTCTTTCTGGTTCATAGGTCACAAAATGTAAAACAAAAAATACAAAAACAAAATAAAAAATTGAAAAAATTTAGAAAAAAAAATAAAAATTAAAGAATCAAGAATTACAAAGAGCAAATAAGTGTAGTGAATAAAATTAAGAAAGAATTGCCTATAAAACAAAATAAGAATAAAAAATAAGTAAAATTACAAAATTCTACAAAAAAGAGTGAAAACCAGGGGTTAAATGCCCATAAAGATAAAATACATATTTCCATGAATTCATTGGAAAATAAGGTGCTAAATCGTTGTTTTTCTATGTGGCCATAAAAAAATCCAAGTTCACAAAAAAAGCAACAATAATCATTAAAAAAATCAACAACAACAACATACGCCTTAGAGGCCAAGGAGCCCCTCATTAAAAGGCAGTCATCATTACAGCATTTTCAACCCTCTCTTTCTCTTCGCTGATCTCCTACCAATCATCAGCAGTAGCTGCCTATCATAAAAAAATCCATTTAAGACAAACAATCTACCACAGTCTTCCAAAAAAAAAAAAAAAACAACCACTCTCTTTGCATTCCCTTTATTCATTCAAAACATTGAGGAGTATTAAAGGAATACAAAAAGAAAACAGGTGGATATTTTGGAATAATCAAACCACGTTTTGGGAGTCCAACAACAACAAATAAAAAAAAAAAAAATAAATACAACAACAATACCAATAAACAAAAATAGTGGTCTTCTAGTGGCCCAAGAGCCAAAGGAAATAAAAAAAAAACATCATTTCACTTTGGTCGGTCCAGGTCATTGGCCAATCATCGGAAGAGTGGTGACAAATATCAACACCAGTGTCCCTTGATCTCAACAACGTCATTATCTCCATCATCAGATTGTAAACACTATCATCATCATCGCCACCCCTTCTCCCAGTATCTAGTGGTTGTGGATTATTTCACTTTTTATTGTTGTCTTCAATTTCATCGAAACGGAGTGAAAGGATATTTGTTACATTATATTTAAATGGATAATGTTAATTAAGTAAGTAAATGTTTTTTATTTTTTAATTTATTTTTATTTGTAATTATAAAAAAATAAATTGCAATCTTGGAAAGTTCAAGTGTTAGTATTTTTCAAATTAAAAATAGATAATAGGAAGTGAAAGGAGGGATTAAAATTTTGCAAAGTAAAAAAGTGAAAAGAGAAATGCAATTACCTCGCAGCTTAGCCTTTTGAGTTTTGGCCAAATTTTAAGAGAAGACTTCATTTTAGAGAAATAGTGTCAATGGAAAATATATTCAGCATAAAATTTCACTATGGGGCTGGGAATATGAAAAATCGATATAAGTGATATATACCAACTAAAAGTCCATTCCAAATCGGGTATTCCAAAAACCATAATTTTTTGCGCCAAGAACCTATTCTATTGAATAACGATGCCAAATTTCACTCAAATCTTAATTTTAGGGGGTTGGTATCAATGGAAGAAATATTCTCCATCAAATTTCACTATAAGTTGCGGAACAAAAGAAATTTGTAGGTATAATATATAATAACAAAACAGCCCTCTCAATACCGGTCATTAATTGTTGGGAGAAAAAGTCGATATTAATAGCTTAATATTCCGAATTTGGGCCAAAAATCCACACAGGACTTAACCTTAGGTAAGTGGTGTCAATGGAAGATATATTTAGCATCAAATTTCACTAGGGGTCGGGGAATATGAAAAATCGGTATATGTGATATAATCCAATCAAAATCCCGTTTCAAATTGGGTATCCTAAAAACCATTATTTTTGCACCAAAAACCTATTCTATTGAATACCGATGCAAATTTTCCCTCAAGACTTAATTTTAGGAGGTTGGCATCAATGGAAGAAATGTTCTCCATCAAATTTCACTATGAGTTGCGGACAAATATAAATTTGTAGGTATGGTTTATATTCACAAAAAAGCCCTCACAATACTTGGAATTAATTGTTGGCGAAAAAGCCGTAAATAATAGCTGAGTATTTCGAATATGGGCCAAAAATCTGCACAGAACTTCATCGTAGGTGCATGGTGTCAATGGAAGATATATTCAGCATCAAATTTTACTATGAGTCGGGGAATACGAAAAATCGCTATATGTGATATATACCAATAAAAACCCTATATCAAATTGGGTATCCAAAAAAACATTATTTTTTACGCCAAGAACCTATTCTATTGAATAACGATGTAAATTTTCCCTCAAGACTTAATTTTACGGGGTTGGTATCCATGGAAGAAATGTTCTCCATTAAATTTCACTATAAGTTGCGGAGCAAAAGAAATTTGTATTTATAATATATATATATTAATAACACAGCCCTCACAATACTGGGCATTAATTGTTGGGCGAAAATGTCGATAATAATAGCTCAGTGTTTCGAATTTGGGCCGAAAATCCGCACAGGACTTCACCTTAGGTAAGTGGTGTCAATGGAAGACATATTCAGCATCAAATTTCACTAAGGGTCATTGAATGTGAAAAATCGCTATATGTGATATATACCAATCAAAATCCCATTCCAAATTGGGTATCCAAAAATCCATTATTTTTTCCCCTTAAAAAACGTACTCTGTTGAATAGCGATGCAAATTTCCCCTCAAGACTTAATTTTATGGAGTTGGTATCAATGGAGGAATTATACTACGCCAAATTTTACTATAAGTCGATGAACATACGTAGGCTGTAGGTTTTATATTTATTAAGAAAAAAGTCCATGCAAAGTTGGACATTATTTTTTGGGCGAGAAATTGGTACTCAATCAAAGTTGGTGACATTTTTCCACAAAGGGCCTATTTTAGCGTGATTGTGTCAATGAAAGAAATATCCGAACATAAGACATCTACCGAAATTATATTAATCAATAAAAAGACCCACCCAAATTTAGGCATTATTTTTGAGCGAAATATCGTAATTTATCACAATTTGGACGATTTTTGCCATAATATTTCATTTTAGGAGGTTAATGTCAATGAAAGAAATGTTGTAAATTAAATTTCACCATTAGTCACCAAACACAAGAAATCTGTAGATAAGTTATATATTAACGAAAATGGCCACACTTATTTTTAGGCAGGAAAGTCGTATTTTTACCAAATTTGGTCTAATTTTCCCCCAAGTGTCCACTTTTATCGGTGTAGTGTCAATTAAAAAAAATTCTCCATTGAGTTTTATTATAAGTTCCCGATTATAAGAAATCTGTAAACATGAATTATATTCTTAAAAAGTCTATAGAAATTTGCCCATTATTTTTTGGACGAAAATTCCAATTTCATCAAATTTGGGGCAAATTTTGTCATTGGTTAATGTTAAGAGTTTGGTGTTAATGGAAGAAATATCCTCTGTCAAATTTAACTTTCAGTTTCTAAACAGCAATTTTGGTCAGGGTTTACCTTTTGAGTCATAATGCATATATTTTCGGCTTTGGCCAAAATATTCCCATAAATCTGAATTTTTAGGAGGTGTTGTCAATGGAAGAAATTTTCTGCATCCAACTTAATTTTGAGTTCCTCACACAGAAAATCTGTAGACTTGATAAATATTGACAAAAAGCCCACATAAAATTGGACATTATTTTTTTGGGGCAAAAAAGTCGTACATCATCAAATTTGGTCCAATTCTGCCACATGTCTACATTTTTAGGATAGGTATGTGAATGAAAAAAATGCTCTATGTAAAATGTTTCTATAAGATGCGAAGCAAAACAAATTGTAGGTCATATATAATACTAAAATATCTATACCATAAAAATGTAAGGCATTACTTTTGGACGAAAATTCATATTTTTATTTTGGTTTTGAGCTAAATTTTCCCACAAGACGTCATTTTTGGTGACTAATGTCAATGGGAGAAATGTTCTCCGTTGAATTTAACTATAAGTCGTAGAGCATGAGAAATCGGTAGAAATTAGAAATTGTAAATTAGAAAAAATGTATACCCAGTTGGATATATATAACTAAGGTACTCATTTTTCTGTGTTTTTTGGTACTTTTTAGAATTTGGGTCATTTTTTCCCACAAGACATCATTTTAGCAACTTGATGTAAAGGAAAGTAACATTCTCCATTAAATTTTACTATGAGTCGCCAAGATTAAGAAATCTGTAGATGTGATACAAATCAGAGAAAATTCTTATCCAACTTGTGTATGCAAACAAAACGTCAATATTAGGGTCATTTCAATTTCGGGCCAAAATATTGATGAAGACATTATTTTTGAAACACTATGCCAATGAAAGAATTATTCTCCAGCAAATTTCATTATAGATCGCCTAACACAAGAAATCTCTAGATGTTATATATACCAAAGAAAAATCTAAAACAATGTGAATATACAAAACATAAACTCATTATTTTTTGGGCCAAAAAAATGAATTTTTTGATTTTGGGCCAAATTTTCTCACAAAACTTCATTGTAGCGTCCTGGCACCAAAGGAAAAATTGTTCCTCATCATAATTTACCATAGGTCTCCGAACAAATTAAATCTGTAATTGTCTCTGAATATAAGAAATCTGTAGTTATGTCAAGGAAAATCCTTATCCAATTTTGGTATATAAACTAAACGTTACTTTTTGGGTCATTTCAATTCTGGGTCAAAATATCGGTGAAGATAACATTTTTGAAATGTTTTGCCAATGAAAGAATTATTCTCCAGCAAATTTAATTATAAGTCGCCGAACACAATAAATCTCTAGATATAATATATACCAAACAAAAATCTACAACAATGTGGACATACAAAAAACTCATTATTTTTTGGGTCAAAAATAGGACTTCTTCGATTTTGGTCCAAAATTTCCCACAAATCTTCATTGTAGCGTCATGGTGCCAAAGGGAAAATTGTTCCTCATCAAAATTCACCACAAGTCTCCGAACAAATGAAATCTGTAATTGTCACTGAATATAGGAAATCTGTAGTTACGTCAAGGAAAATCCTTATCCAATTTTGGTATACGTTACTTTTTGGGTCATTTTAATTTTGGGCCAAATTTTGGTGAAGACATCATTTTTGAAACATTGTGCCAATGAAATAATTATTCTCCATAAAATTTTACTATAGGTCGCTGAACACGAGAAATCTGTATTAATGATATATACCATTTAAATGCCAATAACAATGTGTATATATAAACAAAATACTTTTTGGGTCAAAAATATGACTTTTTTTGATTTTGGCCCAAAATTTTCCACAAAACTTCATTGTAGCATCATGGTGCCAAAGAGAAAATTGTTCCTCATCAAAATTTACCATAAGTCTCCGAACAAATGAAATCTGTAGTTGTAGCTAAATATAAGAAATCTGTAGTTGTGTCAAGGCAAATCTTTATCCAATTTAGGCATATAAACTAATCGTTACTTTTTGGGTCATTTCAATATTGGGCCAAAATATCGATGAAGACATCATTTTTTAAGCATTATGTCAATGAAGGAATTATTCTCCAGCAAATTTCATTATAGATCGTCAAACACAAGAAATCTCTAGATGTAATATATACCAAAGAAAAATCTACAACAATGTGAATATACAAAAAAAAAATCATTATTTTTTGGGTCAAAAATATGACTTTTTTGATTTTGGGCCAAATTTTCCCACAAAACTTCATTGTAGCGTCATGGTGCTAAAAGAAAAATTGTTCCTCATCAAATTTTACCATAGGTCTCCGAATAAATGAAATCTGTAATTGTCACTGAATATAAGAAATCTGTAGTTATGTCAAGGAAAATCCTTATCCAATTTTGGTAAACGTTACTTTTTGGGTCATTTCAATTTCGGGCCAAAATGTCGATGAAGACATTGAAAGAATCATTCTCCATCAAATTTTACTATAGGTCGCTGAACAAGAGGAAATCGTAGAAATGATATAATTATGTAAAAAATCTATTTTAATTTGTCTCTATATAACAGTCGTAAAAATTGGGAGATTTTTGGCTTTTTCGATTTTAGGTTAGTTTTGCCCACAAAACTTTATTTTAGCAACTTGACGTCAAGGAAGGGAATATTCCTTATCGAA